ATGTTTGACTTACATATATAGCAGTTCTTTGTTCACTAAATTAATTGTTTGACTTACATATATAGCAGTTCTTTGTTCATTAAAATAAATGTTTGACTTACATATATAGCAGTTCTTTGTTCATTAAAATAATTGTTTGACTTACATGTATAGCAGTTCTGTATTCACCAAGTTAATTGTTTGACTTACATGTATAGCAGTTCTTTGTTCATTCAAATACTTGTTTGACATATGTATACAGCTGTTTTTAATAGTGGACAAATTCTGTGGAAGGTTATTAATTCTCACTGAAGACCTGACGTCATTAAATAAGGAACCAGTCCTGTTCTATTGCTATGCGTAACTTGACGAAACAAGTTAGAAATAATTAAACAAAATATCGTATTGTTTGTTTGTTTTTAATTTCGCGCAAAGCTACACGAGGGCTATCTGCGCTAGCCGTCCCTAATTTAGCAGTGTAAGACTAGAGGGAAGAGAGCTAGTCATCACCACCCACCGCCAACTTCTGGGCTACTCTTTTACCAACGAATAGTGGGATTGACCGTCACATTATAACGCCCCCACGGCTGAAAAGGCAAGCATGTTTGGTGGGACGGGGATTCGAACCGCGACCCGCAGATTGCGAGTCGAGCGCCCTAACTACCTGACCATGCCGGGCCAAAGTGTATCAGAAAAAATGCGCAAGTCACAAGTTCCTCTATACACGATAGAAATAACCATGGTTATTCTTTCGCAAAGACAATCACATGGGTAAATACAGAAGAACATACATCACTCTAATTTTAGCGGAAAACATACGCCAAGATAATGACACACCAAAAAATATAGGCCAATGATGTTGCACAGACTGAAGTTATTATATAAAATGGGCCAATGGTGTTACTCCGAGTGAATTTATTATACAAAATGGGCCAATGGTGTTACTCCGAGTGAAGTTATTATATAAAACTATTTCTAAGACTATCTATTTCTTAAAATTTGTAAATTTACTTTACAAATATATTTTACTTATGAAAATTTTATGACATTTAATAGTTTCATTTTGAGTTTACCTATTTATTATAAGTATTATTTTATTACAAGTTACAGTTTTTACAGTAAGGAAAAATATTTTTTAAACCGTTATGACGTTTCGATTACTGGTGTGATCATTCTTAAAATGCCCCCCAGTGGCACAGCGGTATGTCTGCGGACTTACAACGCTAGAATCCGGGTTTCGATACCCGTGATTGGCAGAGCACAGATACCCCATTGTGTAGCTTTGTGCTTAATTACAAAAAAAAAACAATCATTCTTAAATACACAAGTTTTAACGGTAAAGAAGGTTTTAGTACTTAAATCGATGTTCAACGATCAAACAATGTATTTAGATTTTAGAATTGATAGTGGTAACGTATGCATATCAATTCACGTGAATTGACAGATTATCTGTAACCATTCTATTAATTCTAAAATGTAAATACATGGTTAGATTGTTGAATGTTGATTTAAATACTAAAACCTTCTTTACCGTTAAAACCTGTGCGCTTGAGAATGATCGCACAAGCGATCGAAACGCCGTACCTGTTTTAAAAATATTTTTCCTTTCTGTAAAAGCCGTAGCTGGTAATAAAATAACATTTATGACAGTTAATCTATCCATTAATATAAATACTAAGTCAGTGTTCAAACTAAAAGAATGCTATATTTGTTATTGTCAAGAAATCACTTTATGAATAGTAATACAATACACAAAAAGAGTCCAAAAATGTCTTTTTTTTTTCATCCGGTGGTTTTCAGTGCTATACGTTAACCACAAAAATTTACTGTTTTCAGTTCTAAAATTATGTTTTAATGAACAACTATATGAACCGATGAACATCTAATTTCAAACACTGTTGATGTGAAAAATATATTGTCTTTAAAAAAAGAAGGGTTAACGTTAATTTGTAAAAGTCTGTCGGCCACAAAGTGCTGTGAAAATCCAGAGATGCTTGTCGTAATAAAATGTATCTGGTTAAGCTTGAGGAGCAGGAAATATTTTTTTATTTTCTTGAAGTCGTTTAGTACCACGAGGCCATGTAGATTTTTACTTCTTACTTTCCGCAACGAAATAGTTTTGTTTTGTTTTTCGTTTCTTTTCTTTATGTATCATTTGACAATTTTAAAATTAATTTATGGAAAAAGCTATCCGCCCATCACTCGCCCGGAAATATAGTTTTTTGATTTTCTTGTTTTATGAGTGAAATTATCATGAAATGACAAATGCAAAGATTTAAAACATTTACTAAGTTACGGGTTTCTTATACTAGTATAAGATGAAAGAGAATAAAAAAACATAAACATTTCCTTACCTCATTCAGTTACTTCCATGTATTCAGTAATTTTAATAAATCATATGTGTCTTATATGCTATATAATATCATTCCAAGAACCAACACTAGTTCTTTATTCTTGTGTTTGTTTGTTTGTTTTGAATTTATGCACAAAGCTACACAATGGGCTATCTGTGCTCTGCCCACCACAAGTATCGAAACCCGGTTTCTAGCGTTGTAAGTCCACAGACATAGCCGCTGTGTCACTGTGGGGCTTTTTTCTTGTAAAATCAGGTTGCTGGATCTCTTTTAATATGGGACAGCGGTAAGTTTACGAACTTACAACGCTAAAATTCAGGGTTCGATTCCCCACAGTAGACACAGCAGATAGCCCAAATGTAGCTTTGCTCTAAGACAAACTTTTAATTTTCTTAACTAAAGCATTCTTACATTTAAAAAAATCATCAATAATATAAGTCAGTTTACAATCAACTCTGATAAGTTCTGAGTTGGCTGATGAAAAACAAAACTGTATTATCTGCATGTTATAAGAATATTTTGTACCATAAAGATTAGTTCTAGTTCAGGATTGTGAAAGGGTATGCTCAATATGTTTAAAGTCCTCCTTAATATTTTATACGTTTATATTTTTCTAATTGGTGGTCTATTTCTTTTATTTTCGTTTCTTAGACCTCAGAAAAAATATTTGTTTATATCAAACCCTATTTTATTCATTTTGTGTTACACCAGTTTTAAAGATCTATTTCGTTGGTAGATTTATTAGATAACGATCTTTAAAAAACACCTACATCTTTTCCTTTCTCATATTTTAGCTCATTTATTTTCACAATATCACCACCTAAAAGTGATAGGTTAAACTATCGTGCTTCATCAGAACTCAATATATTTTATAATGTCACTTTTAACAACATCACTGTAAGCATATTTCCGAATAATCTATGCGGGGACAGTGCTTAGAATAGTATTGTTCCATTCCAAAACATAAAATTAAGTTCTCGAGAATGTGAAAAACAACAACAAAACAACAGTAAGTTATTTTAGCTTCTGCAGAGGAATATTACACGAGGATAAAAAATTGGAATGGTCAACAATTGGGTGCATTTTGGGCCTACTTTTTTTTTCGATAACCATGTGTGTCCTCACCCAGATCACATCACCACATTTTCGAGTAACAATGTATTTTGTTGAGTAACCGTATTACGAAAGGAGACTAGGATAATTGGACGATCTAATTGATTTTTAAATGATTCATAGTTTCTAAATATCCTTTAAACATTTATTTCATTAACATAATATTCACACACCCTAACAAAACACGTTCTCATCTGAACAACAGATTTGACAGATACAAAACAACTTGTCTATTAATCTTTCTTCTTGTTAAAACCGAAATACTTTTTAGTATTACCCTAATGTCACAACACATCCCAACACTAGGGCGATATAGGTAAGTAAGAAATTATTTTAGATACACAACATAGTAGA